TGAGTGTATTTTCAGCTTTGTATGACAGTTTCTTGGCAGTTTTTTGCTACTTTTGTGCCCTTGTTGTATACATATACTGGCATTCACACATTAGCATGCACAGGCAGGTTGTGTATGCTTCTTAATATTAAAACCCTGTTTATAAGCACTGCAAGAAAAAAATAAATTTTAAATGTTTCAAACAAATGTAGTATTTTTTTTTTTATCTGGATCTAAAATAAAGTTTACATTATCATAACTAGAAAATGTATGTTAAAAATTTTGAACTTAAGTTGAAACAGCAAATATTTGTAAAGTCAAATGAACTTCAATAAAACAATTCAGCACTAGGCAAGATTTAAATTAGTGAGTTGAAATCCCTTGTACTTTTAAGTTGATTTAACTTAAAATTTGAAGGCAGCCACAAAACTTACGTTTTTAAGTTGAAAGGGGTGAACATTTTTTACAGTGTATCAACAGACTGATTTATTCATAGTGTTCGTTAATGTTTTCATGTTTCAGAAGCCTGTTCCTGATTGCGGAATCTCTGAAGGCCATTTTCAGTTCATGCATAAATGAAACAAACTCTCATTCATTTAAATTAGTTAGTAGTTCATATGAGCTCTGCAGCTGAAAGGAAAACAAATCTGAATGATGCATAAAACAAACGTTTTTTTTCTTCTCTCCAGGACCATCAGGCATTTTCTGAGCTTTTAAATGGCACAGAGAACTGGCTGTACGAAGAGGGAGCAGACCAAGATAAGCAGACGTAAATTAACAAGCTGGAAGAAATATAGTACATGCGAGTCATTTGTCCTCAAACACATTCAATCATAGCCACGACAAATTGATTTTGTGTTCTCTCAGAGATAACCGGACTCGTACTCCGCAATAGGTTTAACATTTTGCTCCATTTGATATGCGGCCACAGTTTTGTGTTTTAATTGACTCGCGCTGTCTTGACAGCTTGCGGCATTGGGATGGCATGCATTTTGCTTAAAGGCTAGGAGAGTAATTTGTGTAGCTTTCAAAACCCCTCTGTTGCACTTTCGGAAGAGCGCTAATTGGATGCTGTGTACTGCACACCAAACAAATGCATTCATGCTTACAAACAGTGATGTATTAAAGCCTTTTGTTTTATTCAACAGAAACTGGGTAAGCCTGTGCAAAACAGATACCAGGAGTCCATACGGAGACCTAAAATGTTCGAGGAGCTGTCAGCCAAAATACAAAGCTACATGACTATTATGGAGGAGTATAAGAATGTTTTCTCTCTCATTTTCTTCATCATATATCAGAATCAGAATCAGAATGAGCTTTATTGCCAGGTATGTTTACACATACGAGGAATTTGTTTTCGTGACAGAAGCTTCCAGTGTAACAGAATGACAGTGACAGAACAAAAAACACATAATAAAAAATAGAACAAGTAAATAAGGAATAAAAATATATAAATTGACAGTTGTATGTGCAGGTATATTACAATAGACAGTTTTTGTATGTACAGGTACTGTATATTATGTGCAAATTTGAGGTGTAGACTGAGTATGAGTGTTAGATAAATAAGTGTATGAGTGAATAAATAGTGTGTGTTCCACAGTTATTGTTAAGTGTTCATGAGATGGATGGCCTGAGGGAAGAAACTGTTCCTGTGTCTGGTCGTTCTGGTGCTCAGTGCTCTGTAGCGTCGACCAGATGGCAACAGTTCAAAGAGGGAGTGTGCTGGATGTGAGGGGTCCAGAGTGATTCTGCCAGCCCTTTTGCTCACTCTGGATAAGTACAGTTCTTGGAGAGAAGGGAGGGTTGTACCAATGATTCGCTCAGCAGTCCGGACTACCCTCTATAGTCTTCTGAGGTCACATTTGGTAGCTGAGCTGAACCAGACAGTTATTGAAGTGCAGAGGGTGGATTCAATCATGGCAGAGTAGAACTGTTTCAGCAGCTCCTGTGGCAGGTTGAACTTCCTCAGCTGGCGAAGGAAATAAAACCTCTACTGGGCCTTTTTCACAATGGAGTCAATGTGAGTGTCCCACTTCAGGTCCTGAGAGATTGTGGTGCCCAGGAACCTGAATGACTCCACTGCAGTCACAGTGCTGTCCATGATGGTGAGTGGGGGGAGTGCAGGGGGGTTTCTCCTGAAGTCCATGATCATCTCCACAGTTTTGAGCGTGTTGAGCTCCAAGTTGTTGAGACTGCACCAGACAGCCTCAAGATATCACATCTTATTTGGAACAATCATGCTCTGCAAGGCACTTTACAGCACAGGGAGGCATTATTTTAAATTGTTTTATACATTATAATGGATCGCATGCAGTTACACAGTCAGATTTCAGCCATCAGTCTCTTAAAACTGACTATAAATAGTGTCTGCTTTTACATTTATTCATTAAGCAGAAGCTTTTATCCAAAGCGCCTTATAAATAAGGAATGCAACAACACAGCAATTCATCCTTGGGAGACTGTAATATCAGAAGTGCTGCAATACTTTCTTTTAGGGCTGGACAATAATTCAATATCAATATGTATCGCGATATAATTTTTTTCAATAACGGTGATATGATTTTTAAACACATTTCCGATATTTCGATATTTCAAAAAACATTTTCGTAAACTGAAAAATAAAAAATCAAAATAAATTTATGTGTGTCGGTTTAGGGAAATACCGGGAAATGCCTGTAAATGGCGCATCATGCACGTGAGGTTATCTGACGGAGAGACGCAAAGCAGTTTAAAGCAGAGTCCTGCACGGGTCCTGTTAGGTAAACCTGCATCGTCAGTACACGACAGAACACCCGACCCGTTATCCGACAGCAGCCAGCACCAATTTAATTCTGTACCCGACCCGTTTGACATAAATAAAAAGCTTTTGTAACATTATACACTATTCCATTCAGTATAATTTTTATACATTTTTTGGGAAAGAAATTATAGAAATTAATATTTTTATTTAGCAAGGATGCTTAAAATTGATCAAAGGTGATGATAAAGGCATTTATAATGTTACAAAAGATTTTTATTTCAGATAAATAGTGTTCATATCGATATCGGAATTATATCATATCGACCGAAATTAAGAAATATATCGTGATATAAATTTTGGCCATATCGTCCAGCCCTACTTTCTTTTAAGTTCCTAAACTGACTAGAAATGTATTCTCATCAGTGGTTGTGTGTTGTATTTAACGGAATACTACAGTAAATGTAAAGAATTTATTGTCAGTAACTAGGTATGCACATAATGGTTATGTATCATTTAATTGTACATGCTCATTTACTTTATTTTTACATTTATATTTTTACCTTGCTGTAATCTAATGTTCACCAGGGTTATTATAGTTAAGTAAAAATATGTAAAAATAAGTAAAAAATAATGTAACATTTTATTTTAGCCAATTTACAAAGCAGCATTTTTATTTAGTTTACCTATTATCGTTAACTGAAACAAAAAATATTAAAAACATTGTTAAAGGGGTCATATGATGCTGCTAAAAAGAACATTATTTTGTGTATTTGGTGTAATGAAATGTGTT